GAAGGGGCAATGGAATTTGGGGCACACAGGTCCTGTGGTGGTTTGAATGAGAATGGCCACCAGAGAGACTCGTGTAATTTGAACGTTTGGCTTCCAGTTGAAGGAACTACTTAGGAAGGATTAGGAGGTGTGGCCTTGTTGGAGGAGGTGTGACACTGGGGTGAAGTTGGAGATTTCAAAAGTCCACACCAAGGTGGGTCTCACTTTCTCCCTGCCTTCATCTTGTGGCTAAGATGTAAGCCCTCAGCTACTGCTCCAGCACCAGCCTCACACCCCACGGTGGTGAGCAGTCCTCTGGAACGCTAAGCAAGCCTCCTTTTAAATGCTCTCTTTCGTAAGTTGCCTTGGTCGTGGTGTCTCTCCACAATGACAGAATGGTAACTGAGACAGTTGTTACATTCCTTCTCCATGTCTCCTGCTCATACTAGCCTTTCAACTGAGTGTTCCGAATTATCTCCCAATTTCCTTGTTGGGAGCGATCAACGTTATTTAGAACCTCTTGTAAATATTGTCGGTCTTTTTTAAGAATAGTCCGTCCTCTCCCCAGCTTCCTAGTGAATAGAACCTGGGCTCACAGGAATAGCTGATAGCAATCCACAGTTAGGTTACTCAATCCTCCTCCTTGCAATTAGGCTACTTAGCACGAACACCTCTTCATTCCTGATGCTCAGCCTCAGCGTTGGTCTGTGACTACCAACACCCCTCAGTACGTGACCAAGAACACACTCCTGGGTACGTGACCAAGAACACTCCTCAGCCGAATACTAGGCACCGACCCCTCCCTTATTGTCCTGCATCCCCCTACCTCATTTCCCCTATTTAAGCCTGCACAGAATTCTCTTTAAACGGCAGCTTGATCGGAAGGTCTGTCTTGCTGTCCATCTCTCTCGTGTTTCTCGTCTCATTCATAACAGGTTCCCGTGGGCTCGAACCCGTTGTGCCCTGCTGGGCAGGGCATTTCCTCTCTGTTTTCCATACAGATAAGAGTCTGCAAAGGTGTTCTAGAGAAAAGAAGGAAGACTATAAAATAAGTCCACCCTTTGGAAGTGGGACCATTTAGGGGTGCAGTGAGCCATTTCAGGGCATTCTGGGTAAGCCGTGAATGCTGACTGCTGTCCGGGCGTTGCCCAGATACGGCCTGCAAGCCTGGACAAGAGGCAAAAGAGCAACAGGCCAAGAGGGGTGTGCTTTCCGTCAGGATGCAGGGCACTGAAAGAAAATGGCCTCCAAAGGGAGCGGCACTGTTAGGAGGTGTGGCCTTGTTGGAGTAGGTGTGGCCTTGATGGAGGAAGTGCGTAACTGCGGAGGCCGGCTTTGAGGTCTCCCATGCTCAAGCAATGCCCAGCTAGACGGTTCACTTCCTGCTGCCTGCCTGTCAAGATGTAGGACTCTCAGCTTCAGCACCACGTCTGCCTGCACGCTGCCATCCATTCCCAGCTGCCATGCTCCCTGGACCAAACCTCTGAACTGAAAACCACCACAATGGAATGTCTTCCTTTGTAGAGCTGCAGCGTGGTCACAGTGTCTCTTCCCAGCAGCAGAAACCCTAACCCAGGCAGCCACAGAGACAGTGAGAGCTAAACTCCTCATCTCTAATTCTTCATGCGCGGGGTGGAGGGGGTGGGGCTCTCCACACGAGCACCTTCTGGGATCAGGGAGACAGCGTACACGTGGAGTAGGATGAAGTCTTTCTTATCGTGCTGTTTCCTTCTGTTTAGATCTGTTCATTCTGGTGGTGTCAGAGCACACCAGGAGAGCCGCAGATGGAATGTGAGACGTATATGGAAACAACATTTGGTATCCGCGCCAAACACACGTGATGACGAAGCTGGAGGGTCTCAGAGTGACCTTGCTTGGGATCAAATCCTGGCTTCCCCAAGGCCTGAGGCATGTCTTAACCACTGGGTTCCTAGTTTATAATGTGTGTGTGGAGTGATAATTAGGATGTTTAGTTTTAGTAAGATGGTTGAAAATAGCAGATAACCCCATCTAAGTCTTGGGCAAAGAAGTCATGGGCCGTGTCCCTCAGATGCAGCCGTGTAGAACAGGGTGTTTCTGCCTGAGATTCCCTTTTGCTTGGCTAAAGTGGCAAATTCCATAGGAGTTGGAGTCAACAAGCCACCTCCCAGATAGGCTGTGCCTCAGAATTCCTGATGATATAGGTCTGTGATCCCAGAACCAAGGAGCATGAGGCAGGAAGATCACAAGTTTAAGTCCAGCTGGGAAAGTCATAAGATAGTGTCTCAGGCCCAGTCCTGAGGTTCGCTGGAGTTGAGCTGTAGGTATGTGTTGGGAGATGTCATTCTGTAAATATGTGTCTGATTGGTTTGAATAAAGCAGTGTTGGCCAATAGGGAAGCAAGATAGGTGGGACTAGGAGTCGAGGAGGATTCTTGGAAAGAGAGACACAGGCAGACACCATTAGGACACCAGAGTAAGAGGTCCAGACCCTTTTCTCCGGTAAGAAAAATACTTGGATTAACAGTTATGGGTTAAATATTTAAGTGAGAGCTAGCCAGTAAGAAACAAGTAAAGGCCAACAGCTTCATAATTAATATAGTGTCCTGTGAGTTATTTGGGGACTGCAACTGTGGCAAGGCCCAGGTGGCTGGCAAGGAAGACTACACGTTACAGGTATGGTCCCTCTGAGAGCCAGGCCTGCAGAGCCAACTTGGTTCTGTGCTCCATCCTTGTCTCTGGAGAGGAAGATGGTTTCCCTGGAAACTGCTGGGCCCTCTGAGAAGTCAGAGACTTCATCAAGGGAGGAAGGGCAGATAACAGCCTGAGGAGCAAGCAGGGGCTGGATTCTCCATGCAAATGATGCAGACCCTTCCCTCTGGCAGTTATGGCTTCCGGGGGCCCAAGATTGCTTTGAAAAGAAAACACTTGAGTTGGGGAGATGGCTCAGTGGTTAAGAGCACTTTGTGCTTTCTGCAGAGGGCCTGGGTTTGGTTCCCAGTACCCATGTGGTGGCTCTCAACTGTCTGTAACTCCATTTCCAGGGGCATCCAATGACCTCTTATGACCCCTGTAGACACCAGGCACACGTGTTGCATATGTATGCATACAGGTGTGTGTGTGGGGGGGGTGCTCTGCCATAACTGAGCCGTAGCATTATCACGCCCTCCTCATAGAGAAGACGTGACTCCAGGTCACATTGCTGAAATACCACCTCTTAAGATAGGAAGCAAGTTCCGAGAAAACAGACCTGCGGCTTATCTGCCTAGTCTAGGGCGTAGGCTTGTATGATAGAAGGAAGAATGTTAGGTTACCAGAGGACACAGGATGACCTGCCCATCCCCCTGACCTCTTGCCCTGCCAGCGACCTTGTAGCTGCAGCACACCCCCATTCCTTCCCCTCCTCCCTTCCCCTATATAAACCCCTTTGGGTTGAAATAAAGGCTGTCGCCTTGATCAGATCCTGTCTTGTCATCCTTTGTATCTCCTGTCCCCCATCTTTCTCCTAGGGTGTTCTGCAGACCCACGTTGAATGTGCCGCAGGTCGGGGCATACAGGCAAAAGACTCATGGACACAGAATAAAATAGATGAACCTTAAAATAATTCGAAACAGAAACATGAATCCAGGATGCTGTAACTGAGTTTTAGGACACAGCAACATCACACCCACCATCTCTTAAACAGGACACTGTATCCCCATTCACAGCGGTTATGGGGTTGTGCCACAGAGTGACTTCTGCCCGGTCCAGGCCCTCGCCCCAGTGCTCTTCTTCCACAGGGAGCATTAGGAGCTTCTGTTTTTTCCTCACTGAGTTGTCGTTGAGAAGGTTTAGGATGTAGCTATCCCAAACACGGCCCCTTAGCATCTAAGAAGACAGTGTGAGCAGGAGGCCCTTTCTTCTCCCTTAATGCAAGTCCCAGAATCCTCTGGCTGCCCGCTGAGAAGCTCCCCTGCAGAACCAACTGCCTTCTCTGCACACAGAAAGCAGGACTGTGCTCTTCCAGGGGGACAAGAGAATGTGAGCAGGCAGCCCTTGCTGCTCCCTGCCCTTTATCAAGCAGGGCCATGCCTTTCTGCCCTCCAGACATACTTCTTCATGGCTGTCTTCCTCGGCTGCCTGCTGGGCTCGAACCTGGCCTTGTGTCCCGGCCCACGGGACATTCATCGTGGGGACTGGAGGGCACCTAGAGGAAAGATGGGGGACAGGAGATACAAGAAGGACACCAAGACAGGTATCTGATCAAGGTGGCAGGATTTTATTCTTTCCAAGACGTATTTAAGGGGCTTGGAGGAGGAAGTGAGGAGGGGCAGCATCAAGGAAGCTGTCAGGGCAAAAGGTCAGGGGTAGACCCTCCTGTGTTGCTAGGTAACCTGACCGCAGGTCCTTACTTTATCTATCTCAATCTTTCCCTATTGTCCAAGCCTATCTCCTGGCAGACTTGGGGGCTTTCTGTTGAGTGGTCCATAGTCACATACCCTCTATGAGGATTGAGTCACGTCTTTTCTATGAGTACGTGAGGCAGCCGCAGCTGGCTAATGGCTGGACACCCCTGACAGCTGTGGTCTTGTTTGTCAAGTGCTCTACCACTGAGCTATGTCCCCAGCCCTCTGGGTTCATTTCTAGAGGCTTCTGTACCACACAAACATATTAAATACATAGTTTTGTTCTGAGTAATCTGACATCTTGTTGTAGGAACCTCAAGCATGAACCTCACGAGATGAGAAATCTTTTCTTCCCTGCAGTGTAAGTATGGCTATGTTAGTATTACAGACAAGGCATCAGTCAGTCATGGTGATTCAGGCTTGCAGGGAACCCCAGCACTGAGGAGGATGCTGGAGGAGATGAGTCAAGACCAGCTTGGGCTACAAGTAAGACCCTGTCTTGACAGATGAAAACAACAGAACTTCAAAAACTCACTTTTGCCCTCTAGCATAAAGAAACAGTAAATAGAACAAGGGTAAAGCCTGCTTTTGCATTCTGAAGGGTAAATAGAGGAAGAGTTGACATTCACCTCTCTCTAAGGGTTTTCTGTTCTTTAGGTCGCCTGGGCATTTTCTAGTTACTTCCTTGGAGCCAGCTCTGCCATCTTGCTCTTGAAAACCGCAAGCTAGCTGCCTAGGTTCCCATGACAGAGTATGGAAGACAACCTCCACCTGGCCGTTACACGTAACAGACACAATGGGGGCCCGGGAGGACGGGACTCACAGTAGGGTGGGAAGGGAAGTACTTTGCGCTGTGTGTGGGAGCGGCTGTAGATGGGGAGGAGCCGGAGAGTGCCTGATAGTCTACACTCTCTCCCTTCTGCTTGAGGAGGAAGCTTCTAGAACATTTTGTTTGTTTATGTCTGTTTTCAAGACAGCCTTGTGTAGCCCAGGCTGGCCTGGACCTCACTATGTAGCAGAGGATATTTTAAACTCCCGATCTCCTGCCTCTACTCCACCCTTCCACCCCCACCCCTAGCCAAGTCCTAGGATCACAAGCATGTGTCACCGTGCTCAGCTTTGAAGTGTCCATAATTTGACTATGGCCACCCTTTTGTGTGTGCGGAGATAACAAACAATACTAAAGTTTCGGGGCTTAAGACGACAAGGACCTTGTATCTGGACAGGCCCATCTTGCATCTCAGTATGACTGTGGACTGTCTCTGTGTTGTCCTCGTTCAGGGACCCAAGAGCACAGAGCAGCTGCCACCTGGAACCATGACAACAGCAGTATCAGGAAGAAGGAAAATGTGCAAATTACAGCTGTCACCTGGACTTGACCCATGTCTCTCCCATTCTCTGGCCTTCAGCACCCAAAATGCATCAAGGGTCAGCAGGTAAGGCGATAATTCCCATGTTTCCATAGGGGAAGAGTAAATAGAGACCAACCTGAAGTGTTCTAACAGTTTTGTTTAGGTGTGTGTGTGTGTGTGTATGTGTGTTTGTGTGTGTGTGTGTGCTCACAGAGGTCAGAGGAGGGCATCAGATCCCTGGAAATGGAGTTACGGGTAGTTGTGTGCTGCGGTGAGGATGCTGGCAATGGAACCCAGGTCTCCTGCCAGACAGGGAAGTACTCTTAACCAATGAGCCGTCTCCACTCTCCAGCCCCATAGCTTACCCACTGTTTTTTTCTTGAGGCAGAACCTTCTGTAGACCAGGCTGGCCTCAGTCTTTCTGTGTAGCTGAGGATGGACCTCTGATCCTCCGGCTGCAGCGTCCTAAGTGCTAGGATTACAGGAGTTTATGTGGGGCTGGGGACCAAGCACAGGGTTTGAGTGACTACCCTTTAAGCCAAGCACCTCCAGCTTGGGGAGCTCAGCTGTGCCCTCTTCCAAAATGACTATCCCAGGTGGGCTTGTCAACACTGCCCTCACGAAGGCTTGGGGAGTGTTGCAACATCCTCCCATGAGTGTAGAGGGAGATTTTCCCAGTCTATCTCAGTCCCACTGGACTGGTTTTCTGTCCATCTGCCCAGTCCCTCAGCTGGTAATGAACTAACCACTCTGAGACTTAGTATATCAGTTACAATTGTTCAGCCAATGGCTTTGGCTTCTTTCTGGGTGGCTCTCTCTTCATTATTAACCCATTTCTATTAATCGATGTATCTCCAGATGACTTTCACTTGCTGGTGATGCCAGGGTCTCTTGACTTCCCAGATGCTACATAGTGTCTGTCCTTTGTCTTTTTTTTCCTGCCTCTTTGTTCAGAATTCTCACCTAGTTAGATTCTGCCTGTCCATTGGCCAAAACAGCTTTATTCACCAACCAATAAGAGAAACATATATTCACAGCATACAGAAGGACATCCCCCATCACCAGAGTACCCAGGCCATCCTTACCACCTGCTGTATGTAACTGACTTAATTGTACAAGGTCTGGGGAGGGGCTGGAGTATAACAGTCAGGGAGGGGGCTCCATCTATGCACCCACAGGGGAACCCTCATCCCCTCTGGATAAGGCATCTCAGGTGCTGCCTGCTGGGAAGAGGAGCACACACAGCCCTGTAAGTGACCCTCATCTATGCTTGGAGGGAACTTGGTGGACCCTGTCACTGGGACCTTACAAGGGGTAGGCTGTCTCCCTCTGGGAAAGAATGTGAGCAATACCCCAGGACTGTGCACGCTACACAAGTACCCACAGCTCAGGGACTGTGCACGCTACACAAGTACCCACAGCTGAGGGACTGTGCACGCTACACAAGTACCCACAGGTGAGCTACACCTCCGGCCACCTGTTTCTTTTTCCTTTAATTCCTATAGAACTTAAGCATGAGAATTTACAAACAGCTCCGTTTCAGGTCTGAGGACACAGCCTGGGCCACCTTGTCACTAGGGACAGGACATGCACAGCTGTGGATAACACCCATGTCTGCTGAGAGGCACCAGGACCTAGGTGTCCCTGCTCTCGAGCCTCCAGGAGGGATCTGGGTGAGGAGGGAGGGCTGTGCAGGGCCCAGGGCTCCCCAGGAGGGCAGAGCAGGGACTTGGGGCAGTGAGTGGGCTCTGGCCTCACTTTGTTCTTCTGGTCAGGGAGCGAGGACACCTCTAGCAATGTAGGTGTCTGACGGAAACCTTTATGGGCATAGCTGGAAAGCCCAGTGTAGAGCGAATTCTAATTGGTCTTACTATAGCAATAAAAACAGAGTCAGATATTGGGGTAAATGCTGAAAGATCAGAGAAGTTAAGCAGCCGGTCTCTAAAGTTCTTATCTTTACAAAATCCTCAGACTGAAAAAGGGCTGAGCTCCTGTGTCTTCCTGCCTTGTATTCCTCTCTTTGCCCAGCCATGTCACTTCCTGTCTCTACCTCCCTAGTGCTGGGATTAAAGGCGTGAGCCACCACCACCCAGCTTCTATGGTTAGCTAGTGGCTAGCCCACCCTCTGGTCTTCAGGAAAGCTTTATTCATTAGAGCACAAACAAAATATCACCACAGTCCAGATGGTGAGCAAAGTGGCTATGAATGGATGAGAGAGAGAGAGAGAGAGAAAGAGAGAGAGAGCTCACAAACTATGAACAAGAAATGGCCATCCCCTTATGCTCTTCTGATCAACATGACTGTTTCACAGCCCTCACTCATCCCTGCAAGAGTTCAGGTTATTTTTACATTTGCCTGGCACCACGGTCCCACCGTTAGAACTTTCTTCCAGCCCATGTGGTCCCAGTAGACTTCAGGGTCAGGCAGGTGCACTAGAACCTTGGGGATCCCAGACTGCTGATTCCTTCAAAGCACTCTCCACAGTGTTACCCCTAAGCCATGGCTCCCCATCCCCATCATAACCTGTTTCCATTCCCAACTCTCTTCTGCCTCCAGACCTCTCCCTGACTACTGCCCGTTAAGATGACCAGTTTTTAAAATATGCTTAAGTTTCCCAAAAGCAGCATACTAGACTTCTTTAACTATGTGAGCAGAAGACTATCCAGACTCACATCTACAACCCCAGCACTGGGAAGGCTGAGGAGGGAGGATTGTCCACGAGTCTGAGGCCAGCTTGGGTTATATAGTGAGTTCCAGGCTAGACAGAGCTGCGGAGGGAAACCCTGTCTCAAAAAACAAAAACAAACAAACAAACAAACAAAAAAACAAGACCAACCACAACCTTATCCTACCTTGCTTCCCTGCTGCAGTGATTAAACACTGGTCAGCAACAACTTGGGGAAGGAAAGGGGCTGGCTGGCTTCAGTTGAAGGTCCTGGTGGGAAGCCGGGGCAGGAACTCATTGCAGGAACTGAAGCAGAGACCACGGACACTGCACACTGTCTGACTTCCCAGGGCTCAGTTGGCCGCTTTCTTAAACAACCAGGCCACCTGTCCAAGGATTGCGCCTTCCACACCAGTCATCAATGAAGACAGTGCCCCACAGACATGCCCACAGGCCAGGCCAGCAGAGGAGAGCCCTCGGGTGAGGTTCCCTCTCCCTAGAAGACTCTACTCTGTGTCCCGTTGATGAGAGCTAAGCTGCACGCTTGTAGACAGAGACGTCAGTATCATGGACTTAAAAAGCCGAAGGGTTCCCCTGGAGGGACTCTAGCTGACCAGAGCGGCAAGCATGGCTCCAGCAGGCCTTACCCTTCTCCTCCATTCCCTCTGCCTTGCTAAGATCTGTTAGATCACCACCCTAAAGCCAGCCTCCTCCTGAGGCCGACTACCAGGGTCCAGCTGTCAAAGCATTGAAGTCCAGCAATCAAAAGCCCCCTTCAGCTCACCTAATTAACATGCCCAATTAAAGTTAAACACCTCATTATAACTCGGGGTTTCCCCCCTTTTACCTTTATAAACTGCCATTTGCCTATGGACCACATCTGTCTCCTCTCTACCCAAAGACAGTCCTTTGTCCCCCCCCCACCTCCTCCACCTAGGACAAATACCCCCCATCCTCCCCTCCCTTGTTCCCAACCTTCTTCCTCATCATCTCTCTCCTGTCATGGTCTCTTATTCCCTGCCCTCTGTCCCTCTGGGGTAAATAAATGTCCTTTGTGCTGAGAAAGTTGGTCTTGGGGTGTCTTGCGTTGACCCTGGTCCCTTTACCCCATACCCCATCCCCAAAAGGAAACAAAGGAAATCACTAAGTACTAAGACCAGGTCTAGGCCCAGGGCCAGAACTAGGTTTTGCTTCAGGATACAAGACACAAGGTAAGGAGGTAGAGAGGCTGGTCATGGTTAGAGCACTGGCTGTTCTTCCAGCGGACCTGGGTTTGAGTCCCAGCACCTACTGTCTGCTATCCAGCCTCGGGGTGTGACACCGTTTTCCAGTCTCTGTGGGCACCAGGCATGCGTGTTGTGCACAGACATACGTGCACATTGAGGAGTATGGAGGGCAGGCAGAATAACGTGAGTACAGGGGTCAGGAAGAAGCCTCCACCATACCCACATATAAACCTGTCGGAAGCTTCTATTTTTTGTCCTGTGATAGCCAGCTCCAAAATGGCCCCAAATGACTCTGGCACTTAGATCTTTGGTAGTCAGAACTCTGCCACTGAGGCACTTTTGGGAACTATGGGAGGGCATAATTTGCTGCACAATAACAAATATTAGAAGACTTTTTTTAAATTTCAGATTCTTTGTGATGTACACACAATTGACATTCTATATCCATAGGTCATGGATTAGAGAGTCAACTATCTGAAAATCAGGTGTATTTACAAAACAGAATGATGTCTGTATTGAATACGTACAGATTATCTCTTGTTATGGTTCAGTAACAGCATAACATTGTGTGCAGTTAATTACACAGCACTTAGACACTGCTAGGTACTTAATGCAATTAGTAATGTAGAGATACTTGAGATATACCGGAGCATGTATGCAGATTGTAAATGCTGCACTGTAGTGTTATATCACGGACTGGAGCACTCCAGGTTTGGGATTCGCGGGAATCCTGCCATCCATCCCCCAGCGAGACCGAGTGATGACTGAATATTGCTTTACCACCAGACGCAAAATGCTTTAAACGACCTATCAAGTAAACCCTTCCTTGCAGTAAGATAACGGACATCTTGGCTGTCTTGTCACATCACTCTCGACGATCCTGGGAAAAACAGCGGGACCAATTTTTCTCCTTGATAAAATGTTCTCCAATAAGAACGGAGGGAATGTGAGGTCATTACAAGATAATACAATGATCATGGTGCCTGATGCACAGCAAATGCTCTTAAATAAGTGGCAAGTTTGCTATTTGGAGGTCCCACGCCGCTTCGGAGGTTCTTCCAGGCCCCCAAATCTGAACTTCAACGCAGCCCGCAAGAAAGGCTCTTTCTTCGTGTCGCCACAGGGTGGCGCTGTGTCACCAACCTCCTTTATGCGGCGGGAAACAGTCCCCTCCAGACTGCCAAGACTTGCCT